TGAACAGTTTTTTCCCCTTCATTCACCATTTTTTACTGACATTGCAGCTATTAAATGCTAGCAGCAATGATAATTCTGAGAAGGCATGAAAGATAATTCATCTATTAAATGCTTTAATTTCTGCTCTTCTGTTAATTTCCACAAAAGCCATCTTCCTCAATCCAAACTATTACAAAAGGAACTGTATTTAAATATAGAGGGTATAGAAAATGAGACTTTCTTTAATACTTACTGAATAAATACTGTACTTTTTTGTGACAGCAATATAAAGATACTGTCATCTGCCTACTACAGGTAAGTAGGAGAATGGTTACTACTAAGATTTATAGGATGAATTTGGGATCCCATTCCTTAAGGGCTAAACCTGAGATTCAAGAAACTGGGTTAAAGGGCACTTCAGCAGACACAAGATACATACAGTACATAAGTACTTCAATAAAACATGCAAAATGGACAAGCTTAAAATTAGGGCTTATTCAAAAAGGGAATAAAGTCTAAGGTTACTCTCTTAATGAAGATTCTTCAGTTAAGACTAGCCAAACAAATGTCCACATTTGAAATGGGAGGAACAATACATGAAACAACTACTCTTAAGACCTTGACATCTATTACAGTAAGAGAAAAATTCCAGCTACCTACTAAGAAGAGAAATACATGTCAACCCTATATACAAGCTGCTAGCGTGGCATTACAATAGTGGTTGGTGCCAAAAATTGTAGTAAAAAAAATAAAGCATCTTTCTGCAGATAAAAGCTTTGAGTAACACTTTCCCAAGTCTATGAAAAGTAAGTATCAAGTAGGGCAAGTCTCTTGTGTCCTTTTTCCCTTATTTTTTGTGTCCTACTTATTCCTAGATAGGCCACGTAGAAAATGCCTTAAGAAACTGCTATTAAAAAAAATGAATGTGTAACCTATGCAGTATTTTTTATGGCTTGTGTTATGTGTGTAAACATATGAAAGTCAACCTAAGTAAAATCATATATCCTACACCAACTTAATGCTCTATTATTTCATCAGTAAGATTTGTGCATTAAACTGTTTCGATTGCCTAGATTTATATATTCTCCCCACCTCCATCATGAAAATATAAAGTAAAGTCTATAACTACATATAAAAAATTATAAAAACTTGGAAAAATGGCATTTCATCTTGGCTTCAACAACATAATCTAGGTACTTAAAGCACCAACCTCCAATCCTCAACACACATATACAGAGATACACCAACTCCCATATTAGGATTATATTTGGAAATCAGACTTCACCTTTTTAATTCAGAAAGCCTGGACTCAATAGTTTCTTGTTTTATTTGAACCTTCTGCGCGCTACTTATAATTTTTGTTAAATCTTCTTGACGAATTTTACTTTCTTCTGGTTTTGAAGATGAAACCTTTCAAAAAGCAAATTTAGGAAATTAATCAAATACTAAACACCATGATTATAATTCAAAGCTTCCCTGTTATAAGACGTTTTTGTAGCCTGTTCAGGAAGTGAGATCTAATTCCAAAAGGTCCAGGAAGAGAATAAACTTCATAGCTCAAAGAGAGAGGATAAGGAATAACCAGCTTATATATTTATTTTTAATGTGGAAAAGTTTCCATGAGCAGGAACATCTTAAGGGCTTTTTTTTTTCACTTCCTTCTGCCTAACTCCCTGTAATTTCCCCAAGCCTCTCTATTATCACATTCCACATTTAATTAAATTTATGCAGTAATTGCTGCACGCTAAGGCCATTTTCTTTCATGGTCCATAACTCTTTTATCCCTTTTATGGATTTAGTCAAAATATCTTACTTCAGCAAAATATATCTTTCATTCAAAAACGTCTTATTAAATGCTTACTATATGTAAGGGACTTATTCTGGGCACTGGATATTCAACAGGGACTACATAAAAACGTCCTCCAGGTAATTGTTGTTGTCCTCCTGTTGTTCTAATAGGAGTTCACATTTTTTAAGCTAAATTAGAAGGAGTGAACCATTCCAATATAGACAACTCCTTATCCTAAGTCAGAATGTAAACATTTCCTTCCCTCTAAAAGGTATTTAATGACTGAGTCCTCAGTACAATTGAGTGCAAGAAAAAAAAAAATGAAAGAGGAAATAATTAAAGCTTTATTAGTCTAAGTCATCTCAACAAAGAATACCTGTGTATTTCTGCACATTTGTATTTTCAACAACTGAAGTATAAGTCTTGGCCAAGTAAACTATATGGTAATGACCTAATTAAATCACGTTAACAATAGCTTACCTTCCTTTTTTAAAAATTTTTTATTGATTTATAAAGCTTACCTTCCTTTTAATGTTCTCCAACAAGTCATCCTGGCCTTGTTTAAAATAAGGATGCTGAAATTCAACAGGACCATCTCGTTCCTGCTTCACAATTCCAGAGTCAATATGTACTACTTTACGAAAACCATCTGAAAAAGATTCAAAATTCAGATGAATAAAATAGACAAAAGTCAAAAATTAATGGTGCTTCTATGGACTATGTTTTCCTTTACCACCTTAATGGGGGGAAAATGGTTTAATCAGTGGCTGATGACAGTACTCCAAATAAACTGCTGTCCATACTCACACATATTCAGCTGCCTCACAAAGCTTGCCATGTTATTGTGCTTGAAGTATTTGGGAAGAATTTCTTTTGCAAATCTTTGTTCATCCAAAACCAGAAAACTCTGGCCATTCTGAAAAAAATTGAAAAAGTCAATTAGTTAAGAACCTATTACATTAGCTGATATATATAAACCCCCAAACTTGGCAGACCTTCCATGATACCTTCAGACCATCTTTTTATTCCCGTTAAATAGCAACAAAAAACAAACTGCAATTTAGTTCCAAATTGAGATTAAGTTCCAAATTGCAATTAAGCTTTTTGACATCAATCTCAAAAGTTTAGGAATATGTCTCAAACCAAAAGTTGCAGCATACTCCATGGTAAAATATTAGAAGAATTTCCATTCTTCTACTCAAAAACAATAGAAAGAAATACAGCATGTAGCCAGCATAATTATTTAATTCTACCTTAAAGCCAATGCAATTAAAACAAAAATAAGATAAAATTTGAAAGGAAGCTGTATTTTATCAATAGACATAATTATATCTTTGTACAATCAATTGAAAAACCACAAAAGAATTCAGAAAGGTAACTGGTTACCAATTAATATTTAAAGTCACTAGTGTTCTTTCATATAGAAAATAAACAATTTGAGACTTCCTACTAAAGTAATTAAAACAGCACTGTACTGCCATAAAGACAGACCATTCAGTGGAACAGAATAAAGAACCCAGAAATAAGCCCTCATATACACAGTCCAAGTATTTTTGACAATGGTGCCAAGACAGTTCAATGGAGAAAGAACATTATTTTCAACAAACAATGCTGGAAAAACTTGATACTCACATGTAAAAGAATGAAGGTGACTCCTTACCTTACACCATATACAAAAATCAACTCAAAACAGATCAAAGGCCTAAATGTAAGGGTTAAAACTATAAAACTCTAAGAAAACATAAGGGGGAAAAGCTTCACAACAATGAATTTGGCAATAATTTCTTGTATAACACAAAAGGATAGGCAACAAAAGCAAAAAGAGACAAATATGGCTTCCACAAACTTAAAAACTTTTGTGTAAAGAACACTACCAAGAGAGTTAAACGGTAACCCACAGAATTGGAGAAAATATTTGCAAATTGTGTATCTGATAAGGGGTTAACATCCATAACATATTTTAAAAATTCCTACAATTCAACAACAACAAAACAAACCTCCTGATTATAATGGGCAATAGATATTTTTCCAAAAAAGACAGTAAAATGGCCAATAAACACCTGAGAAGATGCCTAGCATCACTAATCATTAGGGAAATGAAAACCAAAATCACAATGAGCTGCCACTTCACTCATTAGGATGGCTATTTTTAAAAAACCCACATATAAAACAAAACAAAACAGAAAATAAATGTTGGTGAGGATGCAGAGATGCTGGAATCCTGGTATACTGCTGGTGGGAATGTAAAATAGCTGTTGCTATGGAAAACAGTATAGTGGTTCCTCAGAAAATTAAACACTAAATTACCGTATGTTCCCTACAATTTTCTCTCTCTCTCTCTCTCTCTCTATTATATATATATATCCAAAAGAATTAAAAGCGGGGACTCAAAAAGACATCTGTATACGCATGTTCATAGTAGCATTATTCACAATAGCAAAAAGGTGGAAGCACCCTAAATGTTCACTGACAGAAGAGTGGATTAATACAATGTGGTATACACATACAACAAACTATTATTCATCCTTAAATAGGAAGGAAATTCTGACACATGCTACAACATGGATAAACCTTGAAGACATTGTGCTAAGTGAAATAAACTAGTCACAAGCAGACAAATGCTGTATGATTCTACTTATATTAGGTATTTAAAATACTCAACTTCATAGGGACAGAAAGTAGAATGGTTACTAGGGGCTAAGAAGAAGAGAACTGGAAGTTATTGTCTAATGAGTATGAAGTTTTGGTTTGGGAAAATGAAAAACATTCTGGAGATGGATGATAGTGATGACTGCATAACAAGTGAATGTACTAAATGCCACTGAATTGTATACTTAAAAATGGTTAAAATGGTTAATTTTATGTTATGTGTATTTTATACAAAAATTTAATGCTAAAATGGAATAAAAGAGTCCAGTAAGAGAACAGTGTCAAGTACCTAAAAATAAATTTTATAAATATACTAGACCTTTAAGAAAATATTAACTAAAGAGGACAGATACTGTGTTGTAAAGCTGTCAGGTCTCCTTAAACTAACCAATACATTACTATTTTTCTCAATTAAAAAAAATTTTTGGAGATAAGTAGAAAAGATGCTGAAAAAACAAATATTAGGTACTAAAGTTCATTCACAAAAGTAATTATGTAACAAATGGGCAAGAAACTACTGAAAACAATGGGGAGAGAGGTGTTAACCCCATCCTACACAGATGATAGAATTAGAGTCTACAAGAGTTCAATACTAAAGAAGGGATAGTCAAACAGATGAATGGACAGACTAGAGAGACGAAACAGCAAATCTGAGAACTGAACAGGTAATAAGGGCAGCATTCAGGGGGGAAAGTCAGGAAGGAAAAGGATCAGTTAATAAACTTTTCATTTGGAAGGAAAAAACAAAAGCTCAATGCTAACTATGCTACCTCACTCTTTATTCCATGTTTTGGAAGCATGACATAATAAACCAAGAAGTCCATACAGGTAAAAATTAATACATTTATTCATGGAGATTGTTGGCTGCTAAACCTACCTTCAGATTCCTCTACTTTCTTTTTTAATTTTATTTTTAAAAACTGAAGTTGTATATATTTAAGGTGTACAGATTATTTGACATATGTTCACATATGCACAGTGCAATGACTACTACAGCCAAGCTAATTAACGTAACACCTACAACAAACTAAAAAGCTTCTGCACATTAAAGGAAATAATCAATAGAATAAAAATACAACTTAATGGAATGGGAGAAAGATTTGCAAACATTTATCAGATAAAAGATTAATATCCAAAACATACAGGGAACTCTCACAACTCAACAGCAAAAAGAACACAATCCAATTAAAAAATGGGCAAAGGACCCAAATAAGGCATTTTTCCAAAGAAGACACATAAATGAGAAATAAGTATGTGAAAAGGTGCTCAACAAAACCAATTATCAGGGAAATTCAAATCCAAACCACAATGAGCTATCATCTCATATTTATGAGACTGGCTATTTTATATAAAAAAAAAAACTAAAGATAACAACAAGTGTTGGTGAGGAAGTAGAGAAAAGAGAACCCCTGTAATACGATTACAGGGAATGTAAATTGATAATGTCATTATGGAAAATGGTATGAAGGTTCCCCAAAAAATTAAAAACAGAATTACCAGATGATCCAGCAACGCTCTTCTGGGTATATACACAAAGGAAATGAAATCAGTATCTCAAAGAGATATCTATGCTCCCCTGTTCACTGCAGCATTATTCACAAAAACTAAGACACAGAAACAACTTAAGTGTTTGTCAAAGAAAGAATGGATAAAGAAGTTATGATATATACATCATAACACATACACAATGGAACATTATTCAGCCTTAAAAAAGAAAAAGATCCTGCTGTTTGCAACAACATGGATGATTCTCTAATTTCTTAGTAACAGAACAATTTTGTTTGATGCTGCAACTACATTTCTCAGTCTCCCTTACAAATAGAGGTGGCCAAATAACACACCTGGCAAATAATATATAAGCAGAATGGATTGAGTAGGGCTTCCACAAAAGCTTCTAATAGGGAAAAGAGTCAAAGTGTCAACCCCCTACATACCATATCCCTGCCTGGAACCTGGAGCCAATGGCTAGAGCTCCAGCGATCACTGAGCTAGAGGAACCAAGTATGGCTGAAAAGACAAGAAGGTGACTGACTCAATATCTATAGATGTAAGAGAAAAATACATTTCTACTTTCAGCCACTGTTGTTTGGATTTCTATTACTAATGTCTGAACTTAAACTTAACTGGTAATAGAGATAAAAAAGTTCAATGAAGTTGAGGTACATTATTAACATAAAAAGTATTTCCAACATTTATGATAAACGATTAACTGTATTAATAAAATTTTCTAACTAATCAGTAAGATGAAAAACCCAATGTAAAATTTAGAAGAAGGCGAAGTCTCATTTATAATAGAATGTACAGGGATGGGGGATAGCTGGGGTCAATCCCCAGTACCTTCATTAAAAATCAGGCAGTCAATCAAATTACCTACCTCTTTCCCCCATGCAAAAAAAGCAGCTTCCCTAGCATAACAGAATGTACAGCAAAACAGATAATGATTTTCACTTTAAATATTAGATTGGCAAACATTTTAAAAGTTTTAACAACAGTGTTGGTTATCAGGTAATAGCTATTAAAATTAAAAAATGCATACATCATCTTCTATCTTAAAAGAACTTTCCCTCTACCTTACTTCCCTCTCAATCTACCCACCCCATCTGTCCTTTCATTCACTGCAAAATTTAACAAATATTTTTAAGCCCCCTTCTCCAATTCAGGATTATCTACTTACTCTTACTAAAAACTAGTTTCAGCTTTTCTCACTCTAATGAAACTACTTTTTCTAAAATGTCAAATGCCAAATTCAACGCTCTCTTTTCAGTCCTCATCTTCTTACACCTCTCTGTGGCACTTCAGTTGGCACTACTGACAATTCCCTCCTGAAATGCTCTGCTCTTATGGCTTTGAAACTATACATTATTTGGTCTCCTATCTCTCATATATCCTTTTCAATGGTCTTCCACATATCAAGAGGTAGTGTGCTTTTTAGGTTTCTATTTTTGATCATGACACCTTTTACACTCTTTCCTTAGGCAATCTCATCCACACAGTGTATCTAATTACCGATTTTTATTATGTATAATGATTATCACATCTATGCCTCTGCCCCTGACCATCTCAAATTTCCCACTTGAATTTTCAATCATTAACATTTTTACACAACGTTCTTTAACTCACTATGTTCTCAACCTATTATTTATTTCAAACCCATCTTCCTACTCCCCCAGTCAACTTTTCATACATTCTCCATGGTAGCATGCCCCATCCCCTCTAAGTTAACCAATTAATTTTGATATCAATAACAAAAAGGCAAATTAAAACCTCTCAATTTTAACAGCTAGTTACTTAAAGGGGAAATACTTAA